GACGGCAAAACGGACTGCGCCAGCGCGTCTGGAACGTCAGAATTACCCAAAATTGACATCTATTTTATGATGATGTGCCACACTAATAAAAATGCACAAATCAAATTTTACTTTTTGAAATAATTAATATTTTCATACTTATATTATTAATAATCTTAATTCTAAACCCTAAACCTTATTTACGGCTCCACCCGCACATCTAAAATCCTCGTTCGAGCGGCTCGATCCCGCGATTTCTCCTCGCCCGTGCCCTAGCTCCACAACAGATCCACCACGCGGCGATCTTCTTCTCCAACGATCGCGGTCCATTCACGCACGCGGCCTCCTCGATCTCTGCTCGACCGAACGGCTTCCCAATGGTGGAACTCCATCTGGTCGGCTCTTCCTCTGCCCTAGGCTGCATTTCCTCTTGCCTTAAATCTTTCTCCTCCTCTCCCCTCACATGATTTGCTAGCCAGGGTGGCTGGTAGGTGGCTATTCTTCTCCTCTAATGCTTATAAAACCCCATTTGGGGGAAAATCAAAGGTTGGCCAAAATTTTTGAGAGTGGGGCGGTGCTGCCAAAATCTTTTCAAAACTTACATTTTCTTCTCATCTTCTGTGGCTTGGGAGTTGTTAAAAAATTCTGAGAGAGTTCTTGAGTGATTTTAGAGAGATTCAGATTCTTTTCTACCTCTATTCTTCATTCGATTAGGGTGATTTCTTTTTTGTTTTTCCTGTTGGAGAGGAAGCTTTGTTCCTTTGCTGTTCGAAGATCCCGGAGACTCGAATTTGTCGTGCCGAAAGCTGGAAATCGTGAGGAATTTTTGTGGGTTGCTATTGGAGTGATTTTCTCAAGCCTACTTTACTCCTTCTTTGCTTTAAGTTTACAAAAGGAAAAGGTATTCTTCTTCCTATCTTCTACATTACACTAATTCGGATGGCATGGAATAGGGAAAGCATAACTTTGTTTAGCTTGAAATTTAAGCATGAATTCATGTTAGATTAAGTGAAAATAAGACATGTTTATAACATGTTTGAGGGCTGTCTCTATTATTTTCGTTGCTTGAAATGTTTGAAAGTAAGAAATGCATGTTGAAAATTATTTTATGAAGTGAGAAAGATGCATTTGGGGCTTATGTTTCACCTCTCTTGCTGCCCCTTGTTGAAATATATGCTGGAGGCCATTTTTAAATGCTAGAAATTATGTTTAGGGGCTCACATTTCACTTCTCTTTCTGCCCCTTGTTGACATATATGCTGGATTTGATTTTTGGTGTTGGATTGATGCCTTAGCCGTGAGCTTCATATGCATTTAACTGGATTTGATTTTTGGTGTTGGGTTGATGCCTTAGCCGTGAGCTTCATATGCATTTAACTAGATTTGATTTTTGGTGTTGGGTTGATGCCTTAGCCGTGAGCTTCATAGTTGTTAAACTGGATTTGATTCTTGGTTTTGGGTTGCCGCCTTAGCCGTGAGCTTCATATTCATTTAGTTGGATTTGAGTCTTGGTTTTGGGTTGCTGCCTTAGCCGTGACCTTCATATTTGTTGAACTGGATTTGATTCTTGGTTCAGGGTTGCTGCCTTCCTCGTGGGCTTTCCCCCCTTATTGTCTTACTCGTGAGCTTTTGATTAAAATTAAAGTTGAAGGGCTTTGATAATGGTATGATTTTTAGAGGTACAGAAAGATACTCCCTATGGATTGTTCTCCTATATTTTATAAAATGTTGAAAACTCTTGAAACTTTATTTTGAGTTTCATATAAATTGAAGTCATGATGGGTTTGGAAATCCATAAAAGCGCCACTTGAAAAGAATATCCTTCCCGGGATTGATCTGATCATTTTCCTTTTAACAAATTTAAATGTTTTAGGCCGAAACATTCATGAGTTTTATTGATTTAATTTGGTTTTAAAAAAATGGATC